CAATACACTTTGGCTACCTTAGGTGCCCAGGTAATCAGTCATTCTATGCAAAATTCCTCGTCACAAGTAGGTATTTCAGATACTGACAATATCGGCAAAGAGACGTATCCTTCGCTTGTCTTGGTAATCGCTACCGCCGCTCACCCCCAACGTTTCTACTCTCACCTCGCTCCAAGCGGACAAGGCGGGTGGGCAGGCGGGCAATCAGCCCCCCACCCGCCTGGAGCTCAGTTGCTCCAATGGCCCGTCGAGACCTCGCCGAGTCCACCGAGACCCTCAATGATGTCGGCAGCATCCATACCTCATGGACAAAGAATGCCGCGGAGGAGTTCTGTACAATGGTAACAAAGGTAAGGAAGTAGAGCACGGCTAACCTAGGTGAAGTTCTACAAACCTATTTAGCCGCCTACTTTTGCCTGCAACTGGACTGTGCCATTTCAGTATCTGTGTTTTTGGACATTATCCGCTGTTTTGTCTGGTCACTTTAAACACCATGTCACCGAAAATCGCGCCCTCAGATCATTGTTGCGGCAGATTAGTTGCATCCATTACATTGTATTAGATGCTTCTCTTTTGAAAGCACCCGTCAAATCACTCTTCGCAGCACGTGGAAGTGGTGAGTAAATGGTTGCATGGGCTCGGCGGGGAGAATCCCGATGCTACCGGAACTCTCGCATGAGTGAACACTTCGGAAGACAGCAAACCGATAACATGGCGTTTCAGCAAGACATCAATCACGCCTGGGCCCATAATTCTGATTGCGACTTCTGCTCAAGTCCGCGCGAGTAACGAGCGCAGTAACTACTTCAAACAAAATCGATCCAAAACTAGCCCTATGAATATTGACATTGGCTACGGAGTAGATTGGCTGATATTGCTCAGCAAGCTTATTTAGACATGAGCTAAACTCAATGCTGTTTAGCGTCGAATTCACTCATCGCTCAGCAAATGTTTGTGTTTGTGTTATTTACTTGTCAGAAGATCAAACCAAATTTGCTAGAAGCTGTCATTCATGAAGCATCCAGTAACGTTGTAACTAGTACATAGATAATGACTGAAAACCCCGTGACCACCCCTGGACACCGTTCTCTTCCCTAGTTTTCGTGCTTAAAGCTTCATCTGTCAACCCCATTTGTAACATATTTGTAACCAAGAGATTTGCTCCATAATCATCGTCAACGCCAATTTTAAGCCAGGGGCTGCTTAGTCTTCAGTGACATCTCCATACTCCCACATACCCAGGCGCTGGTCCTTTGCCTGGCTCTCAACCTCCTTAAGGTGCTTGAGGGTAGACTCAAACGCCTTGCTGCGTTCCCAAGCCTTGAGCTTCTTAGGAACCATGCCGTACCCACCGGCAACAACTTCCTTATTGATAGAGTCATTGGGCCCGGGAAGTTCTCCCGAGGATCCAGTGTCATACAGTGTGACATAGCTCAGATTCTCCTTGTTGTCAACAAAGTCGAAGTTGGCAACAAGTCGCTTATTTTCAGTGAGTTCGTAGATGAAATCGATAGCATCTTGGAAATAATCGGCACCGGTAGGAAGTTGCACAAACGAGAGAGAGGCATCAATGGCCTGAGCCTTCAACTTCTGCGCACCAAATTTGGGTTGATCCAGTCCTCGTAGGCTAGACCAAGGGACCTTCTCACTGTTGCCATAATCGATGTAAACAACTTCAGACTTCTTGGCACTGCGGTCATTGGCCTTCACGCGGGCTCGGTACCACTGACCATCAGCAGAGAATTTAGCTGAGACGTACTCTCCAGTCTTTGGAGCGTCCTTGAGAGGGTTGTTGTTTTTGGAATCAAGGTGGAATCTTCGGAATTCGCTCATCAAGCTCTCAAGAGCGGCTGTTCCCTTGCCGATCTCTTGAATCTTGAGTTTACCGTTAGCGTCAACATTAGTGATAATAACATCGCGGTAGTCGGTGGGCTTCTTGTCGATAGAGACTTCGGTTTCAGGAGAAATTTCAGCATTGTTCTCTTCCTCGTACTCCTCATCCTGTGAAGGGTCCCAATCTTGCCACAAGTTCTTCCGAGCCTCCTTGGCCTTCTTCTCAGCGGTGAATAGCTCAGCAGCGTTGCCAGACTTTTCCGCAGAATAAGCGTGAACAGATGCGAGACCTTCTTCGACCAAGACCTTGGCGAAGTTTTCTCGGTTGATATAAAGGTCACCGATGAAGCCACCAACCTTGTCCATGTCATGGATATCTACCTCACAGTCGCGCTGGTTACATCGACGATTGGCAAGATCGAGAGACTCCTTGCCGAAAGGCTCACCTCCTTCGCCATCGGCTCTGGGAGCTCGAGGGGCACGGATTCCACCCAGAACCATTGTGAGTTTTATATTCTCTCGTGGAATCAAGATAGTGAACCTAGAACCGGCTTTGCAGAAGTCGACAATAGCAGGCACCTTCTTTTGTCGTTGTAGGGTAGCCAGCATGATTTTAGCCTTCTGTGTGTTCTCGGAGAGGTCGGTGTACTGTTTTGCCTTCTGAGGTTTGCCTGACCACATGCCCTTCTTCTCCTCTTTAGCCTTCTCTTGGGCAGCGAGGAGGTCATCGTAATTAGGGGCTCGGTCTGTGTCATCCTTTCGATGTCGGATGACTGACGCCCATCCGTTCTCGACCAAGAGAAGGTTGATATTGGTGTTCTTTTCGGTGACAGTAGCGACTTCACGAGCCTCATATCCTTCTGTCGCGGGTTTGTTACCATCAATGCTGATTCTCACATGCTTTCCAATCAGCTTTTGTCGAAGAAACTCCTTGGCTTCCTCCCGGAAAGGACTTTCTGAAGGCTCTGTAGTGCGGGGCCCTCGGACACTGCTGATGTTGATGCGCTTCTCTGTTGTCCCGGCCTTGTTTCTTACGAGAATGGTATCGGCACCAATGACCTTGGATACAATTGCGTCCTGGTTTCCGCTCTCAGTCTTAGCAACATGGTGTCTGTGAAGCCGGAGCTTCTTGGACTGCGCCTGCTTCTCAGCAGCACGGAGAGCAGCCATTCTCTCACCCAACATAATAGAATGGAAGTCATTACATCGTGCAAGACCTTCTTGAAGTAGGAACTCAGCGATATTTCCTCGGGGGTGGATAAGGGCGGCAACAAGCTGCCCTTGGGCGCTAGCACCAACGATCTCGACCTTAATCCGACGATGGAGCAGCCTTGACTCAACAAATGACCTAGCCTCATTTCCGTATTCCTCGGCCGGCTGGGTGGTACCAGTAGAGGGAAGCGTACGCTCGGTGGCAGGCGTTCGGATACCTGCAATCAGTGTCATGGGCTGAACGTGCTTCTTCTCCGAGAGCAAGAGCCGCACCAATACGCGATCGCCACTAAGAACTCGCTCAACAATACCATCCACTGTCTTGCCTTTCCACTCCTTCAAGAATTCAGGGCCACCGAGATCATTTTGAACCTCGATAATACCACCAACTCCGACATGGAGTCCCTTGTCCTCAGCCTTGGCTTTATTTTCGAGCTGGCGAAGTGTCTCAAGGCGGTCAAGCACCTCATCCGACTCCTCCTTCCGACCAGCATCCTCGCGGACCTTCAGCCAGCCAGCCTTAACAAGTTCATCAGGCAGAATGGTTCCATCCTGAAGTTGGGCAGTACCAAATTCTCGGCCGGAAGTAGGGATTGTGTACAGAACGGTTGCTTGAACGACCTTTCCGATGACGAGGTCTCGAAGATACTCGCGAGACTGGAAGGCGAAAGGCTCGTCACCCTCACGCTTCAAGTGAGGGGCCGTGACATAGGCGAGAGACAGGGTCCGTTCATTGTTGGGGTTCTTGGTACTTGTCAATACCAGCGTGTCGCCACTAAGCACGCTCTTGACATTGCCTAAGAAGGTTTTGGACATTGCGGCGGATACAGGAGGATTACGCGGAAAGACCTGTTTGATTCAAGCTCATGTTAGTCGAATGCTGAGAATTCAAGTGCAACAGCGATTCTGACAGGGCACAGGAAGAACACTGGAAAACAAACGGAGCGACAAGACAGTGGAGATTGTTGCAGTGGGAGCTCTCACGACCCAAGAAGTTTCTGAATGGAAGACCAAGCTAAGCAGAGCTTCAATTGAGTTTCAAGCTCCCTTGAGTGCTGCCACCGCCAGATGACAAGTAACCACGAACATGATATTATGGGTGAAGGAGATATCTTACACGTACCTAGGAACAGGGGGGTTGTGCTTCTTTTAGAAGTTCAAGCCTTATTGAGAAAACAAGTTGAGCTCAGATAAGGAAAGTCGAAGGTCAGGGGAGGGAGGACAAGAAAGAAAGAGCTTCATCTGAGCATTGGATGTGGAGTTGCAATCGCGTGAGCTACCTTATGGCAAGGTGGCCCCAAGGCCAAGTTCCCCGCTAAAGTGCTGAATGTGGGGACAAACTCAGGGGTTTAACTATGGCGGATAGATGTCCCTGCAGGTAGGTGCCAGTGATCGCGGGGTACCAGCACAACCTGTCCTCAATAGAAAGGGAAACGGGAGCTCTATCCTTGGATTAGCAGCTTCAGCTAGGGTAAGCTATACCGAAATAGCTAGAAGCCCAGCAGCTCCAGAGCTTAGTACTATAGCAAGGACTTGTAGGCAGAGTTGTCACAGATTTTAAGCTTCTTACAATATGATCAAAATGCCAAATTTATATTTTCTTGTAAAAGAAAATAGGAGGTAGTAGAGTAATAGCATGTCAGAGGCTGCATTCAGGATGAAGCCATTGACTTTCTCAAATATTCAGAGTATCTTCGAAGTTCGAGCCCTCTTCTTATGGCAACATATGTACACAGACTATGCAAAATGTGGGCGATTTCAATTCACATGTCGCTCAACTAGAACGAAGGAGTATTTAAGCATCGACAGTCACTAGCTGATAGTACTTGGCTTGATTGTGTTTTAACTATTTTCCTTTGACTCATTGTAAGGAGGCGGAGTAGGTGCCACGCCATACTGTTCACTACCTAACGGCTTCTTGATCCAAGTAATAAAAGTTCGCGTTATTGATTTCCTTAGTTGGAGATTCCGATAACACCTAATAAGCGATTAGCACTAGTAAATAAACTAGAGGTTGAATTAGGCGTACCGCAAGCAGGTCGGGGACCAGCGTTACCAGTCTTCAGGGATTCCTCGTTATCGCCCTTGCCGAGGTCGTCGGTGCCGGCGTGGATAACGACGGTTCGCTATGCCATTGTCAGTGGAATGTTAGACACGAGCAGAAACCGTCTTACGCCGATGATGCTATGGGGGCCAATCAGCTTGACAAGGGAGTCGGTGACAGAGCCCTTAGCATTTCCCTGGCCATCAGTCTCCAGGTTTCCGAGGTCTCCAACGTGACGAGTCTCGTCAGAGGGAGCACCATGGGTCTTATTGTGAGGGTTGACTGGCATTAAACGTGTTAGCGTGCCGTGAACAGGAGCAAGGCTGAAGATCTGTGACGGAGATCTTCCCAGGAACGGGCCCTTCCGTAAAAACGAACAAGCCGGCGGTGCATCATGCAGGAACAAACTCACAGTGAGGGCCAGCGGAAGTGCATCCGTTGGTGTTATCGCCGAAGGTGTGGATGTGGAATCCTCGTTTGGCGTTGGGATCGTTACCAGTGATGTCCCAGGTGATGGTGGTGGGAGCAGACTCGGACTCCTGCTCGAAGATGACGGTGCCGGAGACCTTGGAGTCACCGCGGAGAACGCTCACTGCGAGGGCCTTGTTAGCTAGCTTCAACGCGTATAGTTGTAACACATGATGGCATCCTCCCCGCTGGTGATGGCGCTGAGAGCTAAGCAGTTCTCCAACCTTGATGGACGCAGCAGTGACAGCTGAGTCATGGTAAGGCCCATCAAGGGACCTTCGATTATCATTCAATGTTCCTTTTGGGGTAGATACAAGCCCATCAAGGTGCATAGAGTGTGAAATTCGTCATCTCGTTGGACGAGGAGGTCTGGGAAACTCGCTCAAACCAGCTCGAAGCCCCTCACTGTCACCCGCTGAGCATGGGTGATGCCATCTATAAAAAGAGCCACCCTCTCTGTATGTGAGCAATGGCTTGGTGACGGGAAGTCTTACCAGCCTTGACCATTTTGACGATTCTTGTTCTTTTGTTGGATGAGTTTTAGGTTAGGAAGCAGTTGAAGGTTGAACGATGATGCAAGTGGAGAGGGGAGCAAAGAGGAGTTTTTGAGGAAGAGTCGGGGTCCGAGGCGGCACGACCTCCGAGCTTCTGAGCTTTCTACCATTACCTCTCGCCAGCCTCGACCTCTTTCCGCTCCATGCGCTGTGCTTCCCCACTCCTGGACTCCAATGAGTTGCCCAGAACAGTTCTTAACCAATCCCTTGCAATCCTCACCAAGCTCTGGCAAGATGCGGGATCTCAACGTCTCATGAAGCTTAGCAATACTGAGGTGGGGTTACCATGAACTGTACCCCGCTCCGTCACACAGTCGTCATTTTACCTAGCCCCAAATAGGGTTGGCGAATGAGATTACATCATTGATGGAATCAGCTCCTACGGTCGACATCTAAGCCGATTTTCGGAGTTATTTCCTCAGGTATTGGCTTTCATGCCGCGGATGTGCACTTGTGCAGTATTGGAAATCAGATGTAACTATGAAGGCTTGGAGTGGAGCATGACCAGGGATATTGAACTGCATGATGTGGAATCAATGTTGTGAGAATATCACAAGTTAGCCTCATGGAGCAAGAAAGCCCATAACCTAGAGGCGAATTGCCAAACATAAACCAGTCCAAGGTCTACTAGAACTACACGAAACTTTTCAGGTCATTTTTCATCTACCAGTAATACTCGTAGGAATCTTAAAAACTTGCCTTTACAAGGGAATGTCCCTCCCCATGATTATGGCCAAATTTGCTGCATTGCATCATATTGGGGATCGACTACAAGCAGCCAAAATCACACAAAGAAATGGCCAAGGAGACATAGTGTTTAAAAAATCAGTTAAATTTATCAAAGAATGAATAATATATTATTACCCTCCAGCCCGCTATTATTGGCCATCTCATACGGAGGCAATCCATTTACTATTGTCGACTGTACCTAATGTATTCCGATAACGCGTCTACCTCCTCTTTAAAATACAGCATATTACTCTTTGTTTTCCTTTCGAGGTCTTTCTTATCTTTCTGTGTCGCCTTCAGCTGCATCTTGCCCATCACAAGCAAATCAATCATGCCGGGAGGCTGTCAGATGCAACCCATGACTTTTTAGTAAGTTGAACGGATCTTTTGGAGAGTCAAATACGGATATCAGCTTCAGAACAAAACGAGCTGCATGGTGTCGCAGTCGCGAAAGCACTACGCTTCATTGTATAACGTCATGTCTTGAGCATGATCGATCCACCGAGTGTGCAATGGCGATCGAATTAGCAGCCTGACAAGAACGATTGCCTGTGTTATTGTCTCAAAGGACGGGATGAATTTCGGGTCATCTTCAAAGGGTGACAGCACCCAATGGTAGAATTTTCGTTTTGTCGCCAAGAAACTTCGCACGATACTCGATAATACCGTTGCTGATGGCATCGAAGTCCTTCACCTTGCGTTTGCGAAAGTCTGTAAGCAATTCGCGAAGTCCTTCAACGTACTGATCATGTTGATCTGCCTCGCAGTTGCCATAGGCACCAAGTTGAAGGAGAATTTGATCATCTATTGCCCCTCGGCATGTTAGCGTTCCCTCCACTGGCATGCGCCCTCGCTTGTTTATGGTTGTGTGTTCGTGGATCATGATGGCACGTACCCGGAACCTGCATGTTTTCGAAATGCTGGAATTGGCACTCGCTGCCTCTAGGGCAAGCTCCTTCAATAAGCTGGTCAGGGCATACTTCCCTTGTCACGTCGATCTTATTGCTGTAGGTCAAAGAGCGTAACCCCCCGGCCACTGAACCGCTGTACTGAGGATGAAAGCGATAAGCCCTAAAGTATTGAAGAGGCGTCTCATATGGGACGAATGTGGTTTTTTCGATTTTCTCACAAACTCGCGGTGCCTTTTGGACCTCAGCCTGTAAGGAGTTAGCTTTGCAACCCAAGAACAGACCAAGTTTGTCTACTTCTCGATGCGTTTCAGATTCCGTATCTCCATCACCGAGTGAGATCGGTTGAGTGATTGGAGTTGTCGTTGCCATGCCCTGCATGTCAGTATCGCTTGTTTCCAACACTCCATGATCGAGTGGTGCATGACGGGGCGAAGAATGCCAGGAAACAGGGGGCTGTGGGCCTGGTAGACGAACACCGACATGCGTTGGCTCGTAGTCATCGGTATCTTCCTCCTCGTTCGAAGTATCGTCCTCGTCCATTGCCACATCGTCTTCGGCCTCTTCGACTCCATTCGTGGCAGGATCGCCAGATGTGTCCGCTATATTGTGTGTGATGGAAGATCTTGTCGTCAATGCAGAGGGGCTACCTGGTATAGTATTCTCCTTTGCCCTGCGATTCTCAAGCTCTTGCAGTTCACCTTGAGGAAGTTGGTCTATCATTTCCCTGTTAATAGTGGGCTCAATGCTCGAGGCTTCGTCCATCGAGGCGTCTGACACAACCTCATCGCAAGAGAGATTTACTTTTTCATTCTCTGCAAGCTCAGTTAATGTTTCTTTCAAGTTTGTCTCTTGAGAGGCCCTCCGAGCTAATTCAAGATCAGTAGAGAACACGTACAGAATCAATTATGCTAACCATTTGTCACCATATCTAAGCTGTCCCTCTGGAAATTCTCCAGCTCGGACTCGTTCGGCGTTGACGCGTTCAACTCATTTTCTGCAGCATCTTCCTTCAATTGCTCTTCTTCAGCCAAACTCTTCTGAATCTCGTTCTCGAGTCTAGCGGCTTCGGAGTATAGATGCTTGAGTTGTTCGGCCTGTGCCTTTCGCCGAGCTTCAACAATAGGCAGGCGTTCACTGGCAACTCGAGCACGCAGCGAGGGTCTTGCTGTCGCTGATTGGTTTCTCGCTTTGGGCAACTTGGCAATAACATGTGGAGAATTATGCACACTTGACGCCGGGCTATCTTGAGCCACTTCGGTATTTGTCGATACAGCACGCCTTACAGTAGGTGCTGGCGGGGTCGGAACGTCGACGCTGCCCTCCTTTGAAGGTGATCCAGATTGAGGCAAAGGTGAATTATTGCCGGACTGTTTTGCCTTCTTACGAGCCTCGGCCTCAGCAATTTTTCGCTTCATATCCTCAATCTTTTTGTTCATACTCTCAAGATCATACATGCCATTAGCACTTGTGGCGGGAGTCCCTGCAGTCCTTGGGCTGGATGCAGCGCGACGAGACGCACTGTCTGGCAGAGCTGGATGATCTCGGAAAGATGCTGTTCTTGAACCGGGAGTCATAGGCTGCTGTATTGACGAAGGCCGCAACTCAGGAGAATCAATTTCCATCTCAGCGTCGTCTTCATCGTCGCTCACATCGATTAGGAATGGACGAGACTCTCGAGTCTGGCCAAACGGGCGCTTATGGGACATGGCCGTGGAATTCTCGTTCAACTCCGCTGCAACAGGCCGTTTGCGTTGGTGAGGAACAGGAGAGGGTGCGTTTGATGACAGAAATAGCCCAGGAATAGATGGTGCAGTTGCTGGATCCGCAATTTCAACATTGACTTCTGTTTGCTCATCAATGTTCACGGAATCAGCACGCGCAAGACTTTGCGACCTGCTGGTTTCAGTTACTGGCGGAGGTAAGTGAGGCTCCGAGGATGTAGGCGCTTGGGGCGCCGCCTTCGCGTTTGCCTCCCGTGCTTTTATTAATGCCTCCATCTTTTGCTGGATCAGCTTCGACTTCTCCGATTGACTCTTAGTCTTGTCTGTTTTCGTGTTGCCTGGCAATAATGGCATCGGATGTGCGGGCTTAGCGATATCAGCGTCTCCAACTGCTGTTTTGGAGCCCTTGGCAGCCAATAAACGGGCTATACGGTCTTTCCGTTCTTCAGACTTGTCTTTGATCTGCCCCACGGCCTTAGGCCCAGCGGCGGCCGTACTCGTTACCGTTAAGGGACTCTCTTGATCGAGGGCATTGCTTGGTACTTTAGCAACGTTTGACATCGATGGTCGTTTTGCTTCTCCTTGGCTTGCGGTATTGGCTTCCAAGTCGAGACCCATCTCCCCAAAAAGCTCCTCCAGCAGTACCCGATCAATTCCTTCTTCGATATAGTTGTGATATCGAACATTGAGTGGCCAGAGGTGTAAAATTGCCTTTTCAGCCCTTTTCTTAGATTCTAAGATAATTGCATCTATATGCTTTGTGTCAGGCCTCGGGCTTGAGCTGTGCTCGCCTCCATTAGCATTTGTCGTCTTCATGACTGTTCCTGACTCCGTCATTGTAAGGTCATTGGCAACGCTTGAGTTATCTAGTCGGAAATTAGCATCACCACAGAGTACTAGGAACTTAAACATACGTGTGTTTGACCTGCCGTTTTCCGAGCCGTTGGATTCTATTTCACGAGGGGAGAGATACGGTGAGTATGAGCCGGAACGTTCGCGACCGGGTTGCTTTAAGTTCGAAGCTCGTTTCTCGACATCGTAGTTCTTTTGTAGGTTCTCGGTCGTGTGATGCTTGGCAGCTGTAGGATCTGGCGGTCGGGGGCCATTATCCTCGGCATCGGGGCCATCTATCCCGTTGGGCTCGTATATATCTTCGAGTTCGCCTTCACTGAGCTCACCGTCTTCCATTCTATCCACATCCATTGCCATAGTCGACAGCGAGTTGTATGTTATCGAATGGCTGGAAGCGTTGTTATCGGGCCTTGTCGACACATCCGGTGTAATGGCATTTCTTAAGTCCATTTGAACATCGGGGATTTTCTGAGGTGCTGTTGGCTGCCAGTTTGCAGTGTCCTGCGAAAATCTCATTCCTAAACCTGGAATGGTAGTCTGATTATACTCATACGCTTCCGCAACTCCCTGGCCGTGAGCCGGTTCAGCCAAAGCTGCGTCGTTATGATAAAAAGCAGGATTATATGGTTCGTTTGCTGAGTACGCGTAGGGCTGCGAGGTTTGGTAGCCCTGGGCCGCACCATGGCCGTACACGTATCGGCTCATTGGTGATAATAATTCCAAGTTTTCGTAGATTAAAG